AATTATCTGAGTATGGTGGCACACACCTTTAGTCCCAGCTACTTGGGAGGCTGAAGTGGGAGGACTGCTTGACCCTGGGAGGTTGACACTGCAGTGAGCTGTGATCATGCCACTGCACTCCAGTCTGGGCATCAGAGTAACACCCTGTCTTCAAAAAAAAAAAGGAGTCTCCATACCCTCACTCTGCAACTACTACCCCAAATGGTTATACCATGAAGAATGTATTTTCTAGCTATGGAATACTCTCAGAGTCCCTCTCTGATACCCTGGAAGCAACTTAAGGGGTTTTGGTATATAAAAAAGAATGCCAGGATTTAAGAGTGACTCTGTATTTACCTTTCAGGGAGCCAGGTGTGGGGAGGACAGCCAGTGTATCCCCAGGAGCCTGACAATGCCTGCATCTTCCCTGATGGTGGACCTTGCCCATCTGGCGCTTGGTCTCAGAAGAGCAGCTTTGTTTATGTCTGGAAGACCTGGGGTGAGGGACTCCCTTCTTGGCCTGTCATCTACACTTGTGTTCACTTCTTTCTACCTGATCACCTTTCTTTTGGCTGCCCCTTCCCACTTAACTTCTGTGATTTTCTCTAATCTTCACTTTCCTCTGGGATCCTTTCTCTTCCATAGCACCTAGCCCCCTTCAACTCTACCATAATTCTCTCTGGCATTATGAAATGTGCCAGAGGCCTAGTAGAGGAATCCTCTTCCTCAATTGTGGTCCTACCCCATGCAATGCCCCATTAGGACCCCTTCCCCATTCCCCCATATCACCACCTTCTAAACACCCTCAGAAATAATCATACCTCCTGACCTCCCATCTCCAGTGCCCTGTTTCTAAGCCTGTCCCTCAGTTCCCTTTGACTAATAATGTTCTCCTCCTTGCTTTTCATTCCAAAAACTTCAGGCCAATACTGGCAAGTTCTAGGGGGCCCAGTGTCCGGGCTGAGCATTGGGACAGGCAGGGCAATGCTGGGCACACACACCATGGAAGTGACTGTCTACCATCGCCGGGGATCCCGGAGCTATGTACCTCTTGCTCATTCCAGCCTGGCCTTCACCATTACTGGTAAGGGTTTAGGAAGGGGCAAGGCCAGTTGTAGGGCAAGAGAAGGCAGGGAGGCTTGAATGAACTGGAAAGGGGAAAGGTGAAATGGTGTGCAAACTTAAAGGGGCAGGGCTAGGAAGACCTAGGCAGAGAAGTATGAGGCTTAGCACCAGTGAAGGGCCAGCCAGTCAGCTTGGGGTTGGAGGGTATGGCTGTGAAAGGAGAAGCTGTGGCTCAGGCCTGGTTCTCACCTTTTCTGGCTTCAATCCCAGACCAGGTGCCTTTCTCCGTGAGCGTGTCCCAGCTGCGGGCCTTGGATGGAGGGAACAAGCACTTCTTGAGAAATCACCCTCTGACATTTGCCCTCCAGCTCCATGACCCCAGTGGCTATCTGGCTGAAGCTGACCTCTCCTACACTTGGGACTTTGGAGACGGTAGTGGAACCCTGATCTCTCGGGCACTTGTGGTCACCCACACTTACCTGGAGCCTGGCCCAGTCACTGCCCAGGTGGTCCTGCAGGCTGCCATTCCTCTCACCTCCTGTGGCTCCTCCCCAGTTCCAGGCACCACAGATGGGTACAGGCCAACTCCAGAAGCCCCTAATACCACAGCTGGCCAAGTGCCTACTACAGAAGTCATAGGTACTACACCTGGTCAGGTGCCAACTGCAGAGCCCTCTGGAACCACAGCTGTGCAGGTGCCAACCAATCAGGTCATAAGCACTGCACCTGTACAGATGCCAACTGCAGAAAGCACAGGTACAACACCTAAGACGGTGCCAGTTTCAGAGGTCATGGGTACCACACTGGCAGAGATATCAACTCCAGAGGCTACAGGTATGACACCTGCAGAGGAGTCAATTGCAGAGCCTTCTGGAACCACAGCTGCACAGGTAACAACTACAGAGTTGGCAGAGACCACAGCTGGAGAGCTACCTACCCCTGAGCCTGAGGGTCCAGATGCCAGCTCAATCATGCCTACAGAAGCTATTACAGGTAAGAGGACCAGTGCGAATGAAGTTCATGGATGTGGGGTACCCTACTGTACTCTGAAAGTCTCACCCAGGACTCAGATGTTACCCAATCCTTTGCTTAGCATTATGGTCCCCTCAGAGCTCTCACTGGCCTGGCTATAAAGCCCTCCAGTATCTCTTTTTTATTTATTTTTTTTAAGTAGAGATGGGGTTTTGCCATGTTGGCCAGACTGGTCTCAAACTCATGACCTCAAATGATCCACCCACCTTGGCCTCCCAAAGTGCTGCGATTACAGGTGTGAGCCACCACACCCGGCCTGAAGCCCTCTAGTATCTTTTAATGACACGGAATAGATCTGGAGTTCAGGAAACCAAGGTCTTCCCCTAGGCCATGAGGGACGAGCTTATTGATTCTCTACTACTGAGAATGGTTGGTGAGGCCAGGGAACAGACTGTGATCATTTACATAATATTTATAGCTCATTTTCTGTTCAAGCATAAATGCACAGAAATCCTTCCCAGATTCTGAGATCCCGATCCTTCCATTTCCTACCCCTGGATTTCCATCCCAAAGCCAAAAGGGAGGAATGAAATAGTGATGCTTAAATGAGTTAACATACGTTGAATGCCTAGCCTAGTACTTGGCATAGTGTGGAGCATAATAAACATTTGAGGATTTTTAAAAACTCCAACACCACCTAACTGTGTGACTCTGGAGGAGTCATTTTCTTCTTCTGGGCCTCAATTTCCTTATCTGTAGAATGAGATTCTGATCTTATCTGATTCTAAGCCAGTGACTCCAGAATGCAGTAACTCTGGTTCAACCTGACAAAATGCCTGGTTGGCCTCTGCCTCCAGATGAATCATCTGTCTCTTGATCTTGCCTCCTCGATCCTCTCCTTCCAGGTTCCCTCAGCCCCCTGCTGGATGGTACAGCCACATTAAGGCTGGTGAAGAGACAAGTCCCCTTGGATTGTGTTCTGTATCGATATGGTTCCTTTTCCGTCACCCTGGACATTGTCCGTGAGTCTTGCCTACTCTGGGGGCTGATAGAGGCAGCTGTGTGCTGCCTAGGGCTGGTCAGTGGAAGCATACCTTGGGAAGAATTACTCACCTAGATAGGAAGAATACCCAAATGCCAGAATCCTCATTTGAAGGCACAGGGATGGGATTGGTGGAGCAGCCCTGGGGCTTTCCTGTCTATGGGCTTTTGAGGAGGGCTGGTAGAGGAATCCTAACTTGATACTCTTGCAACAACTCTACAGAGGGTATTGAAAATGCTGAGATCCTGCAGGCTGTGCCATCCAGTGACGGGGATGCATTTGAGCTGACTGTATCCTGCCAAGGCGGGTGAGTGTCCCACTAGTTGCACTGATAATTCTTGGGTTGACTGTTTCTTTTCTTTTCTTTTCTTTTCTTTTAATTTGAGATGGGGTTTCATCATGTTGGTCAGACTGGTTTTGAACTCCTGACCTCAGGTAATCCACCCGCCTCGGCATCCCAAAGAGCTGGGATTACAGGTGTGAGCCACCATACCTGGCCGGGTTGAGTGTTTCTTTCTCTGCTCTCTGGCATTCATTGTCCCTTCCCAGATCCCCTTATATATCCTGACACCTCTTTCAGGCTGCCCAAGGAAGCCTGCATGGAGATCTCATCACCAGGGTGCCATCCCCCTGCCCAGCGGCTGTGCCAGCCTGTGCCACCCAGTCCAGCCTGCCAGCTGGTTCTGCATCAGATACTGAATGGTGGCTCTGGGACATACTGCCTCAATGTGTCTCTGGCTGATGCCAACAGCCTGGCAGTGGTCAGCACCCAGCTTGTCATGCCTGGTAGGTCCTTGGACAAGAGCTAAGATGAGGAAGGGAGTGGGTAGAGGCCAGCTGGCAAGGAGCAGACACTGACTGAAGCAGTGCCTGGGATTCTGCTCACAGGTCAAGAAGCAGGCCTTGGGCAGGCTCCCCTGTTCGTGGGCATCTTGCTGGTGTTAATGGCTGTGGTCCTTGCATCTCTAATATATAGGTAAGGACCTCACCACACAGTTTCAGATCCCCTTATACCTTGTTATCACCAGTCATTCTTCCTCAATGGGAGAAGGAACCACCTCTCCCTTTGAGGAAGCATGGTGTCCAGGAAAGAGCCCAGGCGTGTAAGTTAGAGAGATTTGGGCTGCTGTCTTGCTTGTGGGACCTGGGGGAAGTAGCTTAACCTGTCTAAGCCTCTGAAAAGTAGGTGAACTAATACTTGCCCTGTGGAGCTGTTATAAAGATTAGAAACAATGTGAGTAAAACACCTGACTCTGAAGCAAGAGTGTAATAATTGATATTAATGACTGTTGTTAATAATATTGAGAATGGGGGCAGTTTGGGTGAACTGAGTTTTCTACCAGCAAGATGGGCAGATCCCCTAGACCTGGGGTAGCATAGTCCTCAGCCAGGAAAGCTTATGGGGTGAGGGAGGAATGGACAGAGGTTACTACAGAAATAAGAGAGGGTAAACACTGGAGGTGAGGAGAAGGGGAAGGAGCTAGGATCAAGGCTAATCAGACTGGGATATGGGTGTGTTTCCTTCTTTGGAGAAGCACAGACAGGCTACCTTTGTCCATTGCTAACAGGTTTACCCCTTCTCCCAATATCAGGCGCAGACTTATGAAGCAAGGGTCAGCCTTCTCCGTTCCCCAGCTGTCACATAGCAGCACTCACTGGCTGCGTCTACCCCGCATCTTCCGCACTTGTCCCATTGGTGAGAACAGCCCACTCCTCAGTGGGCAGCAGGTCTGAGTACTCCTGGATGATGCCATGATTTTCCTGGGGCTGACAGAAACACCTATATTTCTGCACCGCCCCCCCATCTTCCCTGGGAGACTACTATCACCTGAAATAAATACTCAGAACCTGATGCTGGTTTTTTTTTTTTTTTTCTTGCCTCTTGGGAGAATCTATGTCATTTAAGGAGTGAAGGTATAAAAGAAGGAAGTGTATCACTTACTTAGCAGATTCCAATGGGAAAACACAAGTCATTTTATTCAGATGAGGCACTTTCAATGTATGTGTTTTGGGGTGTGTGTACATGTGTGCGCATGAGGAACAGTGAGGTGGTGCAGGATAATAAATACTGTGAGGGTGAAGGAACACTCCGAGCTGGCAGGAGTGTGTGGCAGCAATGTACAGAGCTTCGGGAGTCCAGTCCAGGGACAGGGAGGTGGGTTCAAGGCTGGTTTGGAGGCCAAGGGTGTCCCCCTTAACTCAAGAAGCCAAAGAAATTGGTGGAGCGGGGGGGTGGGCCCATGAGCATGGGCATCTGGTTCTTGTGGGTGATCTTGATCTGGAAGGGAAGGGAGCACATTCAGAGGCAGGACCTGGTGGCTTAGGGCTGCAGCTTCAGAGATTTGGAGGGAAATCTGTGGTGTTTGGGGTGAGTTGCTAGGTTCCCAGAGAGGCCACGACAGGGAAGCCAGGGGTTGAGAAATCAGAGTTTAGGATGAATGATGTGCAGGGGAAGTTGAGGCATCAGAAGGGTGTAAAGAAGCTGTGCAATGGGGATTTAGGATCCACGGAGCCCATGGGAGGGGTTCAGCTTTTGGCTGGCGTAGGCAATACTCACTGTACAGGGCGTCTGCATCCATGGTTCTCCGTCAATTTGCATGGGAAGGGTTTTTGTGGTGCTATGGGAGGCCAAGGAACATTGGTGATTTCCTTACCAATCGAATACCAAAACTGCTTCTCAGGTTGGCTTAGAGACCTTTTGTCACTGCGGGAGATCTAGTAAAGCCCCTCCCCACCATTCCCATGACCCTTCTGCTGTCCAGGCCCCACATCTTCCCTCAGGGACCCTGGTGGAGTCTTCCTTACTGGAAGGTGATCTCAGAGCATTTGGCTAGCCGACGTCCAGCATTTTTGAGCTTGGTATAGATCTGGCCCATCTCAATCGCGCCCTCCAGCCCCACTACTTCCAGTCGCTTGTCACTTAGGTCTGGGGATGAAGTAGGGAGATAAGTTTTACATAAACATGGTGTCCCCAAAGGGAGTCACACCTTCCCTTGGTCCTGCCCACTCAGCTCCCAAGGCTGCTCCTCTCACCTGGTACACAGGTTTTCAGGATATCAGGGTCAGTGATGACTTTAGCTGTAACACCTAAGGCCTGGTTGATCCCACAGATATCCCCATGGGGTCTCTTGGTATCACCCCAGAGGTTGGAGCCACCATGCATGCTAGGGATGTTCAGCACTGCGATGCCTTCTAGGGACAGGTTGCTAAGATCCAGCGGTTTCCCACAGATCTAAGGGGAGGGAGGCACAGTCCCAGTTGGGGAGGGCACAGATCCTTACCTCATGGCACAATCATAGATGTGACCACTTCCTCCATCAGATGACAAACTGGGGAGGTCAGGATTTGGAGGTGTCCAAGGGATGGAAATAGGGACTAGTGTATCTTGAGGATTTGGAGAAGTATAGGTGAAAGAAAATGGGAAGTTCCCAAGGGTGCCATGGAGGGACAAACTTGGCTATTAAGAAGTGAAAAGGTTTCACGCTACTAAGCATGAAATAAAATAAAAATGTACTGAGACATACCTGAAATTAAAAGTTCAAAAACTTTAAAAAAAAAAAGTGAAGAGGATGTAGGGTTGAGTCTTACTACACAAACCTCAACTGTCAAAGATTCCTCCAACTTTTTGCATGTTGAGAAGATGGATTCAGATGTGGCAAATTCGAAGTACCATAGCTTGTTCTTCATTCTGTGCCAGCCCCAACACAAGGCCCAGTAGGGAGGGACAGGTTACACAGTGCTGGCAGGGGTGGTAAGTGACAGGGAAGGGCATCAACCTCCTAACTTCAGTCCCATGGGGAATAAGGGTAGCTTCGGTTGGGGGATATCCTAGTGGTGTCACTGCCCTTCTAAGCAATCTGAGTCAAACTTGGTCACAACCTGGCTCCTGACACTGTGTATGCCCACACCCCCCTCTCCTTTCCCTCACCTGCTGTTGAACTTCTCAGGATATTTCTCTCGCATGATGTGGAATCGATGAGCAATAGAGGCATCCTGGAGAGTTCAGGACATGAAGATCAGGGACCTGCCTTCCCTCTCAGTCCAGAGCTCGCTCTCGCCCTCCCCATCTCTCCTCTCTCCCAAGTCCCCATGCTGTTCCCTGCTGGCATGTCCCAAGATCTTCTCTTGCAACTCACACCACTGTACTGCACTCTGGATTTCCCTGTGTCACCGGTCATTTAACCTACCCCTTCCCTTTCTGCTCTCCTCCAGCCACTGCCTGCTTGGCCTCTACTTTCTCCCTTCTCCCCAGGCCCCATTCCACTGACCACACCAATGGAGAAGTAGTTGTTGATGATTTGAAAGGGGACCGGGTCACTCTTTTCTTCAGTTTGTTGGGGTATCACCTCCACGGACCATCGATCCATATGTACCACCTTACTCATCTCTAAATCCTTGAGGATCTTTGCCAGATTCTGTCCTTCATACCCTAGGAATGGAGAAGACAGGTTAGCACTGAGCTCTGGGTCCCAGAAAGGCCTCTTCTCAGCTCCCAGCTCCACAGATTCCCGGGGACCTTCTGCCCTGTTTCTGCAGAGCCTCTCAGCCCTTTCCAGTGACAGGGCAGGGTGCATGGTCACAGCTCCCATGGACCTTTCCTCCACACTGTGTGGAGGGTGAATGTTTCCAATGTGTGTGCACATTCAAAGATGGTGCCAAAAGTCATCTGAAAGGTTGGAAAGAATAGCCAGGAGAATGATAAAAAGATGGGTAACAAATGGGGTAATCCTCTCTCACCCTCAACACCTGATGCTTTCACTCCCCATTCAGACAGACCACAGTATAAAGCAATCATGTCTAAACAGTGTTATACTGGCAGAGTGAATGGAATAAAAGGCTCAATAGTAAAGAACAGAGTGTGGCCCAGCAGGGTGGATCACAAGGTCAAGAGATCCAGACCATCCTGGCTGACACGGTGAAACCCTATCTCTACTAAAAATACAAAAATTAGCTGGGTGTGCTGGTGCGCACCTGTAGTCCCCGTTACTTGGGAGGCTGAGGCAGAAGAATCACTTGAACCCAGGAGGCAGAGGCTGCAGTGAGCTGAGATCACGCCACTGCACTCCAGCCTGGCGACAGAGCGAGACTCTGTCAAAAAAAAAAAAAAAAAAAAAGAATAGGGTGCCCAAATAGACTCAAGTATATGTGGAAATTTAGTCTATGATATCATTTCAAATAAATGGGGAAAAGAAAGATTATTCAATAAATGGTGCTGGGGGAAGGGAGGAGCAGCATGAAAAAATACCTACTGGGTTCTATGCTCACTACCTGCATGACGCAATCATCCATAACCCAAACCTCAGTATCACACAACATACCCATGTAACAAACCTGCACATATATCCCCTGAATCCAAAATTAGAAAAACAAATAGTGCTAAATGTAGAAGTCACTCCTTATACTAAAATGAATTCAAATGGATCAAATAATTTAAATGTAAAAAAAAAGAAGCAGAATTTGTTTTGTTTTGTTTTGAGACAGAATCTCAGTCTGTTGCCCGGGCTGGAGCGCAGTGTTGTGACCATGGTCCCTGCAGCCTTGACCTCCTTGGCTCAAGGGATCCTCCCACCTTACTCTCTTGAGTAGCTGGGACCACAGGCCCACATCGCCACACCCAGCTAACTTTTGTATTTTTTTGTAGAGATTGGCGATCTGCCCGCCTTGGCCTCCCAAAGTGCTGGGATTACAGGTGTGAGCCACTGTGCCTGGCCAGAATTTGTACTAGAAGAAAACATTAGTACATGTTTTTATAATCTTTGAATGGATACAAAACTAGAAGCCCAAAAGAAAAAAGATAGATAAGTATAATTATATTAAAATTTAAAACTAGACTGACATGGTAGTGCCTACAATACCAGCTACATGGCAGGAGGATTGCTCGAACCCAGGAGTTCAAGACTAGACTGGCCAGCGTAGTGAGACCCAATCTCAAAAAACAAACAAACAAGGCCAGGTGCAGTGGCTCACTCCTGTAATACCAGCACTTTGGGAGGCTGAGGCGGGTGATCACTTGAGGTCAGGCGTTCGAGACCAGCCTGGAAAACATGGCAAAACCTAATCTCTACAAAAAATGTAAAAATTAGCCAAGTATAGGCCAGGCATGGTGGCTCACAGTGCTCCGTGTAATCCCAGCACTTTGGGAGGCTGAAAATGCTCGGTTGCAGTGAGTGGGCAGATCACAAGGTCAGGAGTTTGAGACCAGCCTGGTCAACATGGTGAAACCCCATCTCTACTAAAAATACAAAAATTAGCTGGGTGTGGTGGCAGACACCTGTAATCCCAGCTACTCGGGAGGCTGAGGCAGGAGAATTGCTTGAACCCAGGAGGCATAGGTTGCAGTGAGCCAAAATCGCGCCACTGCACCCCAGCCTGGCGAACAAGAGTGAAACTCCGTCTCAAAAACAAAAAAAACTTAGCCATGTGTGGTGGCATGTGACAGTAGTCCCAGCTACTCTGAGATGGAAGATTGCATGAGCCTGGGAGTTTGAGGCTGCTGTGAGCTGTTATCTCACCACTGTACTCCAGCATGGGCAACAGAGCAAGACTCTATCTCAAAACAAAGAAAGAAACAAAAAACGAAAAAGGAAAAATGGGCAAGTAATACAAACAAGATTACCATAGAAGGAAAAATACAAATGGCCAATATGCATAGGAAAGGTGCTCAGTATTACTAAAAATTTCAAGAACCATAATTTAAACAATTAGCTAACTTTTGTTGTCTGTCAGGCTGGCAAAGTATAAAGAGATTGGAAAAATTAAGTGTTAATGAGTTTATGAATAACTGGCATTTTCATTTGCTGTTAGCTGTAGCATAACTTGATAACTCATTTTTGGAAAGCATTTTGGCAACTTTTATCAAAATTTTATCAAATTTTATCATAACATATTTTTTGCTGGGAGCAGTGGCTCACACCTATAACCCCAGCACTTTGGGAGGACAAGGTGGGCAGATCACCTAAGGTCAGGAGTTTGAGACTAGCCTGGTGAACATGGTGAAACCCTGTCACTACTAAAAATACAAAAATTAGCTGGGCATGGTGGCAGGTACCTGTAATCCCAGCTACTCAAGAGGCGAAGGCAGGAGAATCACTTGAATCCAGGAGACAGAGGTTGCAGTGAGCCGAGATTGCA